TTTAAGATCCCCACCCAGAATGCAAGGTTCGCGAATGTAAAATGCGTGAATGAAAATCAGTCGCTTCTGAACGTTAACCCCTTTATCATCAAAAAGGTCCTTGATGGTCAAGTGGACGGCGACTTTGATTTTGTCAAAAAATTGCGAGATGGAAGCCTCCTTGTTAAAGTACAATTCAACTCCCAGATTAAGGATTGATCTTCGAGTTAAAGTAACTATTCCCATTGGCCCAAATACCTGTAAGGGAGTAATCTTTCACAGGGATTTGAGGACGATGGAAGAAAGTGAAATTCTCGAGAGCATGAAGGACCAAGACTTAGTGGACGTTCATTGTATGACCAAGAAGGACAGGGATATGCGAACGAAAACTGGACTGTGTTTTTTGACCTTTGCCTTGAATAAAATCCCAGAGTATGTCAATGTCGGTTATGAGCGTGTTCAAGTAAGACCTTATGTCCAAAAGCCAATGCATTGTAATAGATGCCAAAAATTCGGACACACCTCATTAAGATGTATTGATAAAGACTCTACTAAATTCACTTTCCGTAAATGTGCTGAAGCCCATGACACCATCACTTGTACTAGCCAGATTTCCAAATGTGCTAACTGTGGAGGTCCCCATCAATCAGGATCTGCCGAGTGCAGCATCCTGAAGAGGGAGACTGAGACATTGGCATATATGAGAAAGCATGAAGTTAGTTATACTGAGGCTAAAAGGAAAGTTGAAAGTTTGACACACAAACCTGATACTTCCCATGCTGCAGCACTAACTAACAACACCCCTAGTGCAAGTGATGTCAGTCAACAGCTTGCAGATAAAGATAAAAAGATTGCTGAACTAAAACAAACTGTTAAAGAATTAAATATTAAAGTGCATCAACTGACTAAATTGGTCGATCAAATGGCTGCATCAACCCAGCATAAACATCAAAAGGAGGATGATACCGAATCACAGTCCGGAGCGCACCTTCCCGTCCGGGCTACTCCTGTGAGGACTTCGTCTGGCTCGCGATCGGTTTCTCGAGAGAGAAGCAGATCGCATTCTGTCAGTCGTCTCCCTCGCCAGGAGGTGCAGGACATGGAGGCTTCTGTCTCCAAACCATCCCGTAAGAGGTCCCCGGGAAGCGAGGGAGAGGAGGCGCCTCCCTCCCATAAAAAGAAAATTCGAACTGGTGGACAAGGCACTTCCAAACCCCATAAAACGTAATCTTCGCGTCGACCATTATACAATGGAACTGTCGAAGTATTAGATCTAAAGTAAATGACCTTAAATTATTAGCCTCGTCCTATGCTCCCGATATTATAGTCCTCCAAGAAACACATTTAACAGAATTCGTCTCTGACGAGGTTGTTTCGCTGAGGAACTACCATCTGTGTCGGAGGGACCGTGAGGGTAGGGGTGGAGGCGGAGTCGCCATGTACATCCACCAAAACCTCCCTTTTACAAAAGTGACTTTTAATTCTACTTTGGAGTTTGTCGCATGCAAAGTAAAAATTAATGGCACGTATCTGGCTATATGTTCAGTTTATTGTCCACCTGATACAGTGATAATCTATGATGAGCTTTTTGCTCTTCAGGAACGTCTGCCACAAAATAAAGTAATTTTAGGTGATTTTAATGCTCATCATACGTTATGGGGTTCCCTGCGGGTGGATGGTAGAGGTGAGCAAGTAGTTAAGCTGATTAATGAGTCTGATTTAGTCCTTCTGAACGATGATAGTCCCACGCGGGTGGACGATAATACCGGTAATTTGAGCTTTATTGGCCTATCACTGGTCTCTTCATCAGTAGCAGCTAAGTGCCTGTGGCACACCATTGACGACTCGTTGGGAAGCGATCACCTTCCTATTTTGATTAAATATTCATGCGACACAGTGAGAACGCCTTCAGCGCCTAAATTTAACGTAAAAAAAGCAGACTGGGTCGCCTTCACAAGGAGCGTCAAGCTCGAACTAGTTGGAGAGACCACTGATGATAAAGTAAACAATATTCAGAATTCGATTATAGAAGCAGCTTTGCTATCCATTCCTAAAACTTTGACAGATAGCGTTAAGCATAGAGTTCTATGGTGGACACCAGATTGCCGCAGGGCGCTGTGCCGACGCAATAAGGCCTACAGGCTTTTCAAAAATAACATCACAAATGAGAACTTTTGCAATTACAAACAAGCAAGAGCTAGGGCTCGTAGAGTAATTAGACAAGCAAAAAGAGATTCCTGGTGGAGCTTTGTCTCTTCAATAAACAGCAACACAAAAACATCAGAGGTTTGGTCCACAATCAATAAAATAAATAAGAAAAAATCATCTTTCAAAATTAACAACATCATTTATGAGGGTAACAATTTAGATTCACCTAGAGACATTGCTAATGCACTCGCCAGGCAGTTCTCTCATACAAGCAGCTCAGCAAACTACCATCCTGCTTTCCTGCCCATCAAGGAAGCGGCTGAGCTGCAACCAATTCACTTTGCCACAGGAGATGACTTTGATTACAATAAAGACCTTACAATAGATGAGCTTGTCTGAGCCCTAGAAGCCTGTAGAGGAACATCCCCAGGCCCCGATGAGATTCGATATGAGATGATAAAGCATCTTAATCATGGTGACATGATTAAGTTGCTAGAAGTGTACAATGAAATTTGGAAAAGCCACACTTTTCAAAACTCATGGCACTTCGCCCACATCATTCCCATATTGAAAGGAGGGGGTAATCCCAAACTTGCCATCTCCTACCGCCCAATTGCGTTGACAAGTTGCTTATGCAAGGTCATGGAAAGAATTGTTAACAGTAGGCTATTGCACTTTTTAAATTCCAGTCATTTGCTAGTTGACGAGCAGTGCGGTTTCCGAAAGGGACGCCAAACTCTCGTTCAACTAGTAAAGCTGGACAGTCATATTCAAGAGGCCTTTGCCAAAAAAGATTTTTTGATTTCAGTATTTTTAGGCATAGAAAAAGCCTACGACATGACTTGGCGATATGGCCTACTCAGAAAACTTTATGCTTTTGGATTACGTGGAAACTTGCCTTGTTTTATTCAAAATTTCATTTCTGACAGAACTTTCTCTGTCAAATTATTTTCTGACAATGTCACTTTTTCGGACATTTTTGTCCAGGCAAACGGGGTCTCACAAGGAAGTGTCTTGTCACCAACATTATTTCTATGTATGATAAATGACATCTTACCAGCTCCTCCTCGGAATCTTAAATACTCACTGTACGCTGATGATTGTGCATTATGGCATTCCAGCAATAATGCAGAGTTCTCAGCAAATCGCATCCAATTGGCACTGGATATGATTCATAACTGGGGCCTCCAGTGGGGTTTTAAGTTTTCCATTAGAAAGAGTATTGGGGTAATTTTTTCACATAGGAAAAAGCCCAACATCAGGCTAACTCTAGACAACCACCCAATACCTATTCAAAATTCTGCTAGATTTCTTGGTCTACTTTTTGATAGTAGACTCAATTGGAAAGACCACATTGGTCAGTTAAAGAATAAATGTCAAAAAGCACTAAATTTATTAAAGTGCATTTCTGGTAATAAATGGGGAGCTGATAGACAGTCTTTGCTAATGGTATATAAAGCCCTAGTTAGGTCTAAAGTAGATTATGGGTCAATCGTGTATGGCTCGGCATCGAGAACAAGTTTGAAAGGTTTGGATGTTGTGCAGAATGCTTGTTTGCGTGTGTGTGTTGGAGCCCTGAAATGTACTCGGATCGAGCGTCTTGAGGTGGAGTCAGGAGTACCTCCCCTCCGACTCAGACGCGGCCAGTTAGCCCTGAGCTATGCCGCGAAGGTGGCTCGAGACCCAAGCCACCCTAATGGCAATGGAGGCACTAGGCCCTTTGCCACGAGACTCCACGACCTCGTCGAGAAAGTCGGTATAGATCTCTCTACCATCGATACCCTGGTTCATTCAAATATAGCGCCATGGGAAACCCCCAATTTTTCTATCATGGAAGCCTGGCTTCCATCAGCCAAGGCCATGGCGCCAGAGGTGGAGGTACGCCAGCGGTTCAGAGAGATCCTTATAAAACATCTAAACTTTTTTCATATATATACCGACGGCTCCAAGACAGAAGATTGTGTGGGTGCGGGTGTATGGTCGACTGAATGTGAACTAAAGTTCAGACTGCCGAATCATACATCGATCTTTCTTGCTGAACTTTTTGCTATAGATAAAGCCATTGATTTTGCACTATCGACGACCCACGATAGAATAGTTATTTTTTCTGATTCATTAAGTTCACTTAAAGCTATTAAATCCTTAGAAACCACTAAAAATGAATTACTGGGTAATATCATTCGTAAGTTACATGGTGCCAACAAATCAATCAAGCTAATATGGGTGCCAGGCCACTCTGGTATCCATGGCAACGAACAGGCTGACAAACTAGCCGGGTCAACTGGCGATCTGGACACTACCATAGTTTGTACAGATCTCAGGTGTTTTGTGTCTCTTATAAAAGCAAAAATACATCTCCTGTGGCAAAGTGAGTGGACCAACCTCCAACTCACAAATAAAATAAAACCTGAAATAGAACTGTGGGGCACATCCCACAGGAAAGAAAGAAGGGAGGAGGTGGTGTTGGCCCGCCTTAGGGTCAACGCTACAAGAATCGCCCACCTCACTCCCTACATCGAAAAAAGATTTCCTCCACAATGTCCCCTCTGCATTACCAACCTTACCATTACCCATATCCTCACAGTATGTCAACAACACCACAATCAAAGACAGAAACTAAAAAATTATTTCCAACAAATTAATAAAGAATTTTCATTAATGAATATACTATCAGACAATGAAAAAATAATCAGTAAAGTAATCACTTTTTTAAGGGAGACAAAACTTTATGACCTTATATAGATTGATAGAATAAATAGGATCCATTGGCTTAATAACCTTGGCCACATGCCGCTGGTTGATAGCCAAGAAATCCAACAAAAGTAAAAAAAAAGTGACCAATTCAGTCTACTTCTGCTGTGTATACCCTGAAGATGCCCCGGAAAACCAGAGCAACCACTTCTACTGCCGCCGCTCGTCCTGGTGACTTTCCAGACGACCCCCCGCCTTCCAACTCGCTTTTACGACTTGTCCTCAGACGATGAGGAAGGCGAGGTGTAAGTGCCGAGGGGAAGGTGTATTTTCGACAGCTCCAGTGACGGTAACGGCAACAGCGACAACGGCGATGATTCTGATCTAGATTACGTGTCCCAAGAGGACACTACTATAGATCCAGATGAGCCGTTGTCGGCCTATTTGGAGCGACGGCGGGAGAAGACGGCTCCCGGACAACCTGGGTTCCGGTGGAGGAAGAAGGAGAATGTCCCCAGGCAGTTTGGTTTTGACGTCCATCCTGGTGTCAACATCCCCGAGCTGGACGCCGATTCCAGCCCGCTGGAGATATTCTCCTACTTCTTCACCGATGAGCTCATGGATGTGCTCGTCCGCGAGACAAACCGGGAAGTTCACGTAATATTTTTCAGTTCCAAATACGCATATCGCGTCTTATTGGGTATATATATGTTTCGTGAATATAAAAACTTCTGCATTAGTTCTGTTACATAATTTTCGCTTATTGTGTACAATGACTATAATGTTTGCCTTCTTATTTTTTCAGGTTCTACCGTCAAAGACCAGCCCCCAGTTCTGTCTCAGAGCTTTCAGTCTACATTGGCCTTAGGATGGCCATGGGACTGACCATCAAGCCTGAGCAGAGGGGTTACTGGTCGACCAACCTCTACGACTCCACGCCCCTGTTCCCGGAGACTATGCCGAGGGATCGTTTCGATCAACTGAGCCGATTCCTCCCCGTGGCGGACAACGAGGGGAGTCATCCCCCCGATGACCGCCTGTGGAAGTTGAGGCCAGTGATCGAAATCTTCCAGCGGTAGTTCTCGTCGGTCTACACTCCTCGGAGGATTACGGTCGATGAGAGTCTCTGGAAATTTCGGGGGCGCTTTGCAGCCGTGACCTTCAACCCCAGCAAGCGCGCGCACTTCGGGGTGAAGGTTTATAAGCTCGCGGTCAGTGAAGGCCCGAACCACGGCTACATATGCGCCTTCGAAATTTACATGGGCAAGGACAAAGGCGAAGTACCTGCATCCCAGAGGGCTGTCGTCAACTTGATGGGCGCCGCTGGCTTATTTGATAAGGGGTACCACTTGTATACAGACAACTGGTATACTTCCCCTTATCTTATTCTATTACCTGCAGACTTGGGGGCACGAATGCGGTTGGCACGGTTCGTGTCAACCGAAAATTCATGCCCAAAGATCTGCAGGTAAGAGCCAGCGGAGATGTGGACAGTCAGAGCACGTCAACAGACATGTGCCTTCAATGGCGCGACAAGTGTGTTGTAACGATGCTCTCGACTGTTCATAGAAGCGAGATGGTCGCCACCCTGTCCCAGAGTGGTACTGCCCGGCGCAAACCACAAGTAGTCGCTGACTACAACGATGGGATGAAGGGGATCGATGTGAGTGATCAGCTGGCTCAATCGTACCCGACCTCTCGCAAGTCCCTTAAGTGGTACAAGAAGGTCTTGTTCAACCTTATTGACATGGCAGGCAACTCCTTCGCTGTGCACAAGGCACTCGGAGGACGGTTGACTCAGCTGATCTTCCGGAGGACGCTTAGCAAGGATCTCTTGCGGCGAGGAGGCCATAGTCGAGATCTCAGGTCACAGTCCCGGTCCCGCTCCCACTCCCCGCCTCTGGCTCCGGCTCTTCAGGGTCTACATTGCCAGATACAGACGCCCCACGGGCGATACCGCCGCTGCAAACTGTACTACAGTCGTGGCGTGAGGAAGATGACCAAGATGATGTGTTCAGGGTGTGATGTTTCTCTCTGTGGGGTTCCCTGCTTTGAGGAATATCACATCCTGAACGCATGTATGTCTAGGTGATCCTCCTCACGCCACGACTTTGTATATAATGAAAATATTATAAAAAAAAAAAACGAATAAATGGGAAATGGTAAAAAAAATCTACATATCCTCCTATACTACACTTTACTCCTTTACAGACTAATATGAAATAAATATCAGAAAATAGCAATCTTGACATAGCAGAAGGATCACCAATATAAATTTATGAAAATTCTGAATATATAATACAACAATGGCCAGAAATATTATAGAGTATTCACGAAGTGATGTAAAATCACGTGAAAATATCGATATGTATTTTGGTAAAAAAAAAAAAATCACGTATTAATAAAAACACTGAACCTATAATTATATTTATATGGAAGTGATAATATAAACCTATTGAAACTAAAGTTTATCTTATAAAATAACTTGAAAAAAATGCATACGAAAATACAACTAAACCTACGGTTTCAGCTCCATCATACCACACACTGCTTATTTTATGCAGACTATAGAGCGAATAATGATCAACTATGGAGTCTATATAACAACAAAAATATCCTACAGTCTTGATTTATCAGAAAATATGGCAAATAGCGACCTTAGATAATAGTAATGAAAGTACAACATACGTTCTTAGCATTATGAAGAAAAGGCAAGGGATGCTGGTATTGGGCGTGAGCGGTCGCGCATGCTAGGATGACAATATGAGCCCCCGGCAGCAGGGCCCGGGCCACTATGAATACACCCCGGGAGACCGACCCGTCGGCAATATCACATAAGTATTAGTCCTAGTAATAGTATTAGTAGTAGCATTATTATTATCATTATTATTATTATTATTATTATTGTTATTATTACTATTATTATTATCATTTTTATTGTTATTACTATTATTATTATCATTTTTATTGTTATTATTATCATTATTATTATTATTAATATTATTATTAATATTGTTATTGCTATTCATACTGTTACAACTACTATTACTGATACTATTATCATTATTATCATTATTATTATGTTGTGATTATCATTAGTTATTACTATGCTAACCATTATTATTATCACGACAATTACCATTATCATTTACATTATTATTATCATTAATATAATAATAATAATGATGATAATAATAATACAGATAATAATAACAAATATTATTATTTAGATGATCATTGTTGTTGCCATTATTATCATCACCACTATATTATTATTGTTGTTATTACTATTTGTATTATTATCATTATTATTATTATTATTATTGTCGTTGTTGGTTTTATAATCATAATTATTATCTTCTCTGCCGTCTTAGGGGGGGGTGGGGACTTGAGGTCCCAATGATCTGGTTACCCGGATCAGAGGGCTACCCGTACTGGAGGGGTCACCAGTGGGGGATGAGACAAAATGGCTTCCTGGTGCACCATGGCCTATGAGAGGGGATGGTGCACCCCCACTCCTGGTTCATTCCATCTTGGACCAGGGAGAACTCTCCCACGTGTGTTTGCCGTGCGTGGCGTCCCGTATTACCAGGAGACAGGAGTCCTGGAGGTTTAGCGATGCTGCACGCTGCGCCCTGCATCTAGCAACACACCTCTTTGGTCCTTTATTCTGGTTAGACGGGTGGCTTGATCAAGTCAACTGGCTGGTCAACTATGGCTAGGGTCAAGCAGGCTCTGTCCAGTCGGTAGCGTATATTTCCTCACTCCCCCTGTGGCTGTTGGGAGATTTTGAGTCCTAACTATTTACCTCTGCATGGTGGGTGAGGGTGAGGAAATGAAGAATTCTAATTTGTATGATTTCTACAAATTTATAAAGAACTTGTTCTCTCCCTGTCGGCCTATGCAACCCCATGGCCAATCCCTCTAGACTGTCACATGTCACTCTGAAACCTTTCCAAATGGCAAGAATCGCAATGGTTCCCAGACTCCCAAACCAAATAAGGAGAAAAGTCCTCCTCAATCTATTAAGGAAATCTTGCCTTGTAAATATGAAAGTCAATACCTAGTAGTGAAGACCATTGATGGTGTATCAATCATGGATCTTGATATTTTTGAAGTACATCAGAAATTAGTCGCATCACCCCACAGCGAGATAGTAGCCTGATAGTAGAGGTTTCGTCATCAGGCGAGAGTGACTATCTGTGTGCAATATGTGGCATTCCTGGGGCTCAAGTCTCATGATCTCCTCAGAAAACACTCAATCAGTGTAAGGGAATTGTCTTTTCCCGAGACCTGATGAGACATTCTGAGGAGAAACTGTTAGAGGCACTAAAGAATTTTAATGTAGTAGCAGTAAAATGTTATAAGAAGAAAGTTGATGATTTGAAACAGTCGACACCAGCTTTTGAAACACTAGTCCTTCTAGAAGGGCATGGTATCACCTTAAGGTAAAGCCATATGTACCGAACCATATGCGGTGCTTCCATTGCCAGGATTATGGGCATGGAGCCAACTCTTGCCATTTTAAGGAAAATGGACAACCAAGAGTGTGTGTAAAGAGTGATACAACAGGTCATCATGGAGACAACTCTCCATGTCCATTATGCTGTTACCACTGCAAAGAAACTCATGAAGCTTCTTCAAAGCAATGTAAAAGGTACGATTTTGAAAAAGAAGTATTGGTAATAAAGAACAAGAAGAAAATTTTCTGGAAGCAAAGCAACATGCCTGTGTACACTGCCAGGTAATTCCTTCGCCTTGGTTCTAGCCTCCTTCCCATGATCCCTTGCCCTGCAATACTTCTTCCACCGCACTCTCTGCCACTACCTTTAAACCTCAGTCCTCAAATGCTGAAACTCCTCTGGTGAGTAAGAGTGAGGGGTTTATTGAGGAGACTCCTCCTCTCAAAGCCATCAGTCAAGGCTCCAGAGGCCTCAACAGTGTCAGCTCCAGATGCCACCACATCCAAAGGGGCCTCTGTTGCTAGACAGAATGCCCCTGAAGCATAGACTCAGGTATGCCCTTTGCCCGGGCAAAGGAATCCTGAGCCTGTTCAAAAGACTCCTTCCAGAGTGGGGTCTTTGGAACCATCAGGTGAGCTGCCACCGCATCCACAGGGACCTCTGCTGACTGTGGAATGCTCCTGAACCAAAGGCTCAGGTCCATCCTTTGCCCAGGCAAAGAAATCCTCAGCTTGTCCAAAAAAAAGCCTGTGGAAACTAGTTCCACAGGTAAACAACCCTTCAAAAGGCAACAAAATGGGACAGCCTCAAGGTGTGGGGCAGGCCTTAACCACAGGTGCTGCCAAACACCTTATGAAAAGGTAGTTTATCAATTCTGAAGAATTTGATACCTTAATCCAACGGGACTGTCAAGGAATTCATGTAAAATGGGAAGAACTGCAACATCTGATAACTTCATGTAATCCAGTTTGTGTATGCCTACAAGGGATTATGACAAGGGAAAATAATCCAATTTCCCAATGAGGATTCCAATTTCAAGCCCATTTTGGGACCTTTGATAGTGGACCTCATGGAGGAGTAGCAGTGATGGTACATCAGGATATTCCCTTCCAGGCCATCCACCTGCAGACAACACTGCAGGTGAAGGCTGTGAGAATAGGCTTGACACGACCTTACACTGCTGCATCCATCTACCTCCCTCTGCATAATCTCAACATAGATGATTTGGAAGATTTACTTGGGCAGTTGCCTCATCCATTTCTACTTTTGAGAGACTTCAATGGTCGGCATCACCTCTGGGAGACACTCTGAAACTCTTGAGGATGGGCCTTGGAGTCTTTGTTCCCAAGAGTAGATGCAGTTTTATTGAACAGTGACACACCCACACATTTCCAAATTCAAACTGGGACATTCTCCAATACTGACCTGTCTATTGGTTCACCTGATTCACAGTTGAATTTCACTTAGCAGGTCATAGAAGCAACCACTTTCCAATACTTTTGGAGGAGGTGATTGGTATTCCAGCTCCAGATCTCTGAATGGTTTCCAGTGTGTTCAAGATGCTGCTAATCACTTCACATCACGAATTCACTTTGCAGCAGAATCATCAATTCCCAAAAATAGGGCAGTATCGTCGACATCCGGTACCATGTTGGTCTGATGAATGCCAACAAGCTGTCAGATGAAAGCTGCAGTTAGGTAGTCGAAAGACACCCCAGCGACATAACCATGATTCATTATAAAAAGACCTGAGTCAAGGCCAGGCGAGTGCTAAAGGAGGTTAGACGGACGTTGTGGAGACACTATGTCTCCTCAATTGACTCTGGGACCCCCTTGGCATGGGTATGGGACAAGGTGTGTAAGATCTCTGGAAAGAGCACATCCATGTCACTACCTGCTCTGTGGATAGATGACATAATCCTCACAGACTAAAAAGATGTTGCAAATGAGCTAGCTGAATCCATGGCAGAGATCATATCTGGAGCATCTAACACTGCCCGATTCTCCACTATTCGGGTTGAACAGGAATGACCCCCAATGTCGTTTTTCAGTAGGACTGCAGCAGAACTTCCATACAAGGAGATGGACTCTGCTCTGTTGTATGTGATGACATTCCATACCAAATGATATCTCACCAGAGAGCTCCCAAAAGTTCCTATTGGACCTATTCAATAGGATCTATAGGGAGGGCACAGTGCCATCCACATGGAAAGAAGCTATAGTCATTCCTGTCCCTAATCTGGCGAGGATGTGTTTATACTTGTGAATTACAGACCAATTTCTCTCACCAGCTGGATCTGCAAGCTGATGAAGAAAATTGTAAACTTCAGGCTGACATGGCTGCTGGAAAAAGAAAACGTGCTGATCCCATATCAGTATGGATTTAGGAAATTGAGATCGACCACAGAGGCAAATGAAAAAGCTCGTAATACAACTTGAAAGCATGGCATACTCATGAAGCAAGTAAGACCATGGCCATGCATTTCCACAAAAGAGGAAAGTTTCATCTTTCCCTCTATTTAGGAGCAATTGAACTGCATTTTGTCCAAGAGGTGAAGTACTTGGGTCTAATTTTTGACTCAAGGGTTACATAGGTGCCTCACATCAAATAATTAAAGGTGAAAGCTAGAAAAGTGGTTAGTATTTTGCACCCATCTCAGTGCAGACCAAGCGCTTCATAATGAAGCTCTCAAAATCTGTACAGGGGCTTTCAGGGTTTCATTTGTGGAGTCCCTGTATGCTGTGAGTATAGA